TCTTATTTTTTAATAAAAACACTTCTTCTCAAAAGTTCCTTTCTGACTTCTTCTACAGTATGGGATAGCCAGCAGCAAGTGTGTTATTGAACGTGAAACATTGGAACAAAACAAACACGAGTGTACACTGTATTCTGAATACTTTTACTTTGATTAGCAATATATAGGCTGTGTATAATTACAAAAATTTAAACTACACATGTTACATATAGCTACCATTAATTAGGAATTCTAAAATGCACAGAAGTAGCAGATCATATGGCAAACATTTGCATTAACTTGCATATAAGGCATTTTAAGCGTCCCGCACATCCGCACGGCTCATTCACTCAGCGCTCTTTGCTATTAGATCTAGTGTTTTCTCCAGCGCCTGTGTGGCGTAGCAGGATTGTCCAAGACTTGCTCGCTTGCTTGCTCGCTTGGATGATCGGGGTTCGAGCCCCGGCCAAACCTCAATTTTTATTAGCGGGGGGAGTATATGAATCAGATTACTCCGTTACTGAATAAAGTTGCATTTTTTTTTTTGGTTGGTGCAGATTGTGAAGTTTACTACAGTCTAGCAACTATTTTAAATGTGTTGGCCTAATTACTAAGTTTTTTTTTTTTAACACTGGAGAAAACGTGCTCGGTTTCAGGTGGGAGTTAAGAGGTTAAAAGCAGAAGATTTTCCGACAATGTTCCTAACCCTGCAAAGATAAAAAGCCAGTACAAAAGTGGAATAATTTTATCTTCATAACTTGGTGCTGATTGTAAAGTTGTATCAAAAGTCTTTAACTTGTACTCGAACCCAGGTCCTCCTGTGCCAAAGACTTGAGCTTTATGACTGGGTGTCATAAAGCTCAAGGTGGCACTGCTCACAAGTGCCACCTGGTGGTTTTTTGGGTCATTGCAGCATCACTGGGGGAAAAAAAATAAAAGACGCGTGTTTCACACGTGAGTCTCGTGCTATTCACGCGTGAAAGGCGACAAAACGAAATGGGACCTACTGTATACTGTCTACTACTACCACTACTTCATTCTAACAGCCTAGGCTCTAATAATAATATAAATGCATTGGTTTTATATAGCGCTTTTGAACATGTAATTCTTAATTCACTCCATACACAGTAGTAGTAATAAACTACTACCGTAGCCAAAGCTGACCTGGGGCACACTGACAGAAGCGAGGCAACCAGGATGTGCCCCTCCGACTACCACCAACCATTCATACACACAACAGACTCATTCATCCCAGAGGTCTCCCATCACAATACTAACCAGGCCCTGCCCGGCACAGCTTCACAGGATCTCACTTTCGCATGCAAGTTTGGCCACAAATTGGTAAAGTAGGTGTGTCTTGACTTCATCAGCTCTGAGGTACAGGGCAATTAATTCACTCATCAATCATTTAAATGTATTTATAAATGCTCCGTTATGCATTTCAAAGACTTTTTCTTTTTTTATATATTCAAATGGCTTTGGACAACAAGAGCAGAGAAAGGGGAATTGAACAAGACTTGAAGAAGACATTGTGCTAGTTGGTGTGAGAGATCAGGTTGCGGATGATGCTCCTTGGTAAGAAACAATTCTCCTCGCCATCCCCCCCAAGCCAATGGGGAAAGAAAAAGAGACATTGATTAGTGTTTCAAACCTCGACTTGTTTGGCATATCAAGAAGACCTAGTTTAAATACTCAAAGTTATACTTAAAAATTGGAACTTGTTAATATCCAAAACCCAACGTTAACGTTAAAGTTAAAGTTAACGAGATTCCAGCCGCGTCTGTAAAATCCACAGTTTGAATGCATATCAAAAAGTTTCAAAAATAATTACTTACATTTAAACAAATATACATTTCCACATGCTGAGACTATCTGATGGGGAGAGCTTTCATTCAAAAGTGTAAATTCTGTTTGTGAATTTAGAAGCATTGTGAGTCAGGCGATGACAAATCACAGGGGCGGCACACTGTGAGAGAAAAGCAGCGCAAAACAAAGCTATATTCATTTGTTTGGAATCCTGTCTGAAATAGGGGGAGTCTGAAAAAGCTTGTGTGCCCGTGACATAAAACAATGTTGCGAGATCCTTTTGTTTCATTCATTACTGATTGAAAACACGTTCAGACGAAGCAAAAGAAGCAGTAGGGAACGTTCAACATGGCATTAACACTAGGACCGCCGCGCTCTAAACATACCTTGCACCGCCCCCTGCGGTCAGTTGACCGCTATGTATTTTGCGCTGATACAGCCTTTTGCCAAATTGATTGTTCACTAAACCAGAACTTGATGTTGCAAAGGAATCGTGATCATAATGAAACTGTGTAAATTATTTGTCTAAATATGCTAAGTAATTGTAATTCTAGCCGAAATAAAAGGCTAAGACGACACATTGTGCGTGTACTGATCCATCAAAATTACGATGACTTTTCAGGCTAGATTTATTTTGTAACTTTGCAAACACCTAAAAGGTTGCTCACTATATGTTATATTTGACTCAGTAACAATATGTAAATTCAAACAATATAAATGATAGTTTAGAAAAGCACAGGACCATAACGTCTTCGCGCTGCTATATGCGTCTACTTCTTACGTCATCTCCAGACTGTTTTCTCTTTCCAGCCGAAATCACCGTGGGAAATATTATCTAGATAATAATAATATTATTCGTATTGACACAAGATCATCAGCTAGGCTACCATCGTCAATGTAAAATCTTCAATTTTACACGGGACACGTTAGAAAGACAAATATATGTATATATATATTTGTATTTATTTGAGACAAGCAGTGCTCTTTATGCTCAGAACAAAATTATAATCATTGCCTTGCAGTGCGCGCTGTGCAGAATAACACACAGTGTTATCTGGATGAAATAAGAATTATATCCTTATTGATATATGAGGGCCGCTTCTGCCCCACAGTCGCTCTCCTCCTGCAGTGTCCGCGGGTGACGAGCACTCTGATCTGCACTCTGCCTTGATAGTTCATCGAATTGTTCTATTTTATTATGATATTGTATTCTGCTGTATTGCCTTCTTGTATGTATAAATATAATAATGTAATTGATGATGAATGAAAAGGCAGAATGGAGCGACAGCGCGCACACAGACACCTGCGTATGGCTGGCATTACGCGGGTCATGTGCGTTATTGCTTCTGGACTTGTTACAACACTGCTGTCCGTGCCGTGAATGCACTTTGGGGTTACGTTCAGATTTAGAATATTATAGGTGTTCTCCCCGCTGTCACTTTCTACCTCAAAATGTGACATCTCACCTCCGTCAGACTGTTCTCATTCAATGTCTTGAAGCACTGTCAGCGCTTCATACCGTGTACTTGCAGCTCTATTCATTTTGTACTCCTCTCTCTCTCCCAAATAATAATAAAAAAGTCCCTTTAGAGTCTAATGACAACATATTGATACATTTTTATAAGGCGCGAAAAACCCCCGGGAAAGGTTACTATGACAACAGTCGCCCCTGCGCCATGTATCTCCATGGGGAAGCAGAAAGGGCTGTGGTTTAGAAAAGTTAAAATGCGTGTAAATCTTGTTTTCTTTACTTTTTCCAAAACCAAAACACACCAAAATATAAACAACAAGTACCTAGAAAAAGTCATAAAATTTCAACTTCTGGCGTTTTGTTTTGAATACACTAATTAGCATAATAAAGTGAGTGACGGTCAGTTGACCGCTAGGGGCGCTCCTAGTGTTAAAGAAACCATGTATTGATTTAGCATCAAACACATATGAGAAATATTGAGATAATTGATCGTGGTACAGCTAAAGTTAAAGATTCACTTTGGACAATGTTTGTAATTGTTCAGTCGTACAAGTGGGACAAACGTTTTAATAGTTAATGCATTTCAACCATCGTTCAAACTGCTTCAGTTCTACTGCAGCTCTGGTATGAATCATGAAACCAAATCATTTTCTTTTTACATCCCCAAATCGCAACTGCTCTCATCTCAAAGGAAGTTTGATAATAGGAAACTCTGTTGCTCTGTTCTTCCCGGAATATCAGGTTGTTCCCTTATGAATAATCATGATTATTGTTTACAAACAATGACAACACCTATTTTATATATACATATATACAGTTTTGTGTTAAAGTGTTGCTTGGTTAAAAGGTGACTAAAACTATTGTGACTACTATTCAAACATTTTAAACATTGTAAAAGGCCACAGACCAGGCCCGTCCCAAGGGGGGTGCGAGGCCCTGTGCGAATTTGAAATGCGAGGCCCTGCCCTGACACTTTTTTCCCAGATTTGAGGAAAGTTTTCCCTGTTATAATCTTTGACATGAATTCAGCACCGCCTCGCGCTGTGCGTGAAGAGAAACAGCACGTGCCGTGCACAGCCGCTTGTCCTCGCTCCAATGCAGCGTCGGACGCACGCGCATGTAAACGTACACACACAAACACTGTTACGGCTCTTGGCAACTTCTATTCGTACTCCCTTATGGAGCCTTCTTTTGTCTATTAAATTTACCTGTTAAACTCAAATAAATTGTAAATTCTTATTTAGTGGACTGTGAGCTGGATGACCCTTCATTTAAGAATGAACTACTCATGGCTCACACACAAACCAACCCAAAATAAATATCATCATTCCTTGCTTTATTGTTCAACACACTTTTATCATCACCGTGTGTGGAATGATTGGAACAAAATCTGAACCCTGAACATTGTAAAGCGCTTTGGGTGACCTTGGTCTGTATAAATGCGCTATATAGATAAACATTACTGACTTACTTACTTATTTTGAGCGGCCAACTAATAGAATATACGCTCTTTTTCATCACAACGTAGTCCCTATTTACAATTAGAATACTTATTTACACACGTAGAAAACATATCACATTGCAGCAAAATCATAGAGTCACTTTTCTCGCCTTCTTGGCCGCAAACTCGGCAATCAGGTCTTTATAATCCAATTTGGATGCAATTTCTTTTTCAATAGAAAGAAGAGCAAGCCCGCACAGTCTGTCCTGTAACATCGAGGTGCGTAAATAGTTTTTAATTAATTTAAGCTTTGAAAAGCTTCGCTCCCCTGATGCCACCGTTACTGGGATAGTCAACAGGACCCTGAGCGCAATCTCGCAATTTGGGAACGTTCCTTCAATGGATTTAAGGTACCGAAGTGTTTTAAGGGCTGTAGTTGTTCCCTTTGGGATCATCTCTCGAAGTATCCTCAACTCCACGAAGAGGTCCAGTGCGTTCAAATCCTGTTGAGATTCTGACACGTTCAGAGCATCACTAAGTGTTGCACACTGTCTTCGCAGGTCAATGTCCTCCACTTCACGCAGTTTCGAGAGATCAAAAAGAAAACCAAACAAGTTGCCAAACTCTTGTAGCTGTTTAAAACGAGAATGGAGAGCAGTGAGGGCCTGGTCCACTATCACATTAAAATAGTCTGTTATGTACACCTGCTCTGGGTTCATTTCATTTCCATCACGTTTCACTCGTCTTATCGTTTTTATTTCAGGTTCAGTGTCCATATCGACAGCAATCTCTGTTGCAGTAGCTTTTGCAGATGCAAATCCAGTGTCTCTGTATTTTTGCATGAAGTCAATTAATCCATTGAGTTGCGATAATGCCAGGTCAAGCTGCATATCCTTTGCCTGGAGTGTCTTGCTCACGGTGTTCACGGCGAATAAAATATCATACCATATTATTGTAGACAGGATAAATTCAAAGCTTAGCATTTCATTAGCCAGCGAATTGGCTTCACTTTTAATTCTGGGGTCATTACAGTTCTCTGACAGTTCAAGCAAAGCTTCCCGAATATCACGTGTCTGATAGCGTACTGCTTTAACACTGTCTACGCGACATTCCCACCTTGTTTCAGACATAGATTTAAGTGTGAGATAAAGCACTTTTGCTTTAAGTATTTCCCACCGCTTGGGAGAGCCTGCAAAAATTGTGTAAAGACGCTGTACAATGCCAAAAAAAGACATTGCTTTTGGACAACTCTTCGCCATGTCTCCCAGGGTTAAATTCAGGCTGTGGCAACCGCATGGCATGAAGTAAGCGCGGGGATTGAGATGCAGAATGTGGGCTTGAACCCCCTGATTTTGTCCTTTCATATTCGCCCCGTTGTCGTATCCTTGGCCCCGACAGTCATCTATGCTCAATCCAAGAGACTGTAGTTCTGCCAAGAGCACATTCGATAGTGCCTTTCCAGTTTGTTCATTTACTGGGATGAAGTCAATGAAATGTTCTTCTACGTTCACTTCTAATGAAGACATATTTACAAAACGAAGAATGAGTGACATTTGCTCCTGATGGCTCATATCTGGCGTACAATCAAGAAGTACAGAGTAATATTTTTCTCGCTTGGTTAGATTGACAATAGAGTTTTTGACGTTGGCTGCCATAAGCGAAATTAACTCATTTTGGATCCGAGGTCCTAAATAATGTGCATGAGTTCCCTTATCTCTAATGCGTCTGACATGTTCCTGCATGGTTGGATCAAATTTGGCAATCATCTCTATTAATCCCAAAAAGTTACCATTGTTCTCTTCATAAATCTTTGAATTTGTACCTCGAAATGCCAAATTATTCTCCGCCAAATACTGCACAGCCGCTAAAATACGTGTCAAAACGTCGTGCCAGTGTGCCTTTTCTCTGTTTATAGCTCTCTGGTGTGACTCGTCAATCGCTGTTTGTGTGTTTAATCTTAGCCTCGTCTCCATCCATTTAGCTGCATGTGTGATGTGATCTGTGCTCGTTTCGTGTTCTTTCAGCTGAGTACCCAAATGTCTCCAATCATTACTGCCTCCATTGGCTAATTTGGACCGACTTGTGCAGTGAAACAATTTACAACAAAAACAAAATACAGAGTCAGATTTTTTTGAATAAACAAGCCAGTCTCTTTGAGCCCTTTCCCCATTTGGCAATCTTCGTACAAAGAACTCATCAGAAAAGTGTCTTTTGTCTTGATTTACGGGAAATTCAAACTCACAAATCTTGACAGGCCCTTTTTCCACAAGTAAATCGATTATTTGAGCACTCAAATGCACGGGCCAATTACTGGGATCATTCAGGTCCGTCTGGGATACTTCACTGTGAGTGTGACTGTCAGAACAATATTCATCCGATAGTGGGTCCCCATCCTCCTCCTCTTCCACGGCAAATTCTGCTAAAATGTAATAGAAAAAAAGAAGACTGATCGTATGGCCCAGTTTAAAATGAAATACTATTTACCACACAGCTACTTATATTCCTCATTCCTCACCTTGATTATCATCCTCTACCTCCAGGTTCCCTTTGGGATCTGTCACAGTGTCTGTGATGATGCTAGCTCTTGCCGCCACCACGGCATTACCATACCCGCTAGCTGTGGCTGTGGACACCTGTTCCGCCTCCACGGCAGAACTGATAATAAATTTATCCAGTGACCCCCTTAGCGTCCTATTAAATTCTCCCTTCCTTTTCTGTTTTTTTCTTTTGTCGCAACCCGATACGTGTTTGCGAAATCGGTCGCGGTCTCTTGCAGCTGACATCGTTCGTCCTGTGGCAAAATGGCATACGAGTCTTCTTCTGTTGTTTGAAACGCGCGAAAATGACTGAAGCGTAGTCATAATTTTTGGTACTGTACATTATATATATTTTGCCTAATTATATGTTTTGTGTGGCTTTTACAGAGACAAAATCACAGTTAACAGTTAGTGTATTTATTAGTGTATTCATTTAAAAAAAAAAAAAAAAAGGAAGGAAGATAGCGAGGCCCTGTGCGGTGCGAGGCCCTGTGCGGTGCGAGGCCCTGTGCGATGGCACAGGTCGCACCCCCCTTGGGACGGGCCTGCCACAGACAAACACATAAACTAACGCAATAATGATGGTTTGAATGAAACAAAAGCCGTTTGAATCATGTCTCATGTTTCTGGTGGAGCTGAGGTTGGCTGAATGATGATTGCGTATTTGCTCACTCAAGAGTTTAAGGGGCCAATCTTTGGCAGCAACTTGAAAATGATCATATTTGGTAAAATAAAGAATTTGTTTAGTGTTAGGTGTTCTCTTTTCATAAATGTACCTGCCTAAATAATTAGAGTAAGGAGGACGGCTGAAACTGAAGCAGAAGCAGGAACTACGTCGGACAATAGTACATTTTCATTATGGGCAGACATGCAGAACTTGTGCAAAACCAAAAGCTCTATCAATCTCACGCAAAAGCATAAAAAGGCTACATTTAATATGCATATATTTGGTGAAAGTAACTTAAAAGTAATAGTGTAATGCTCTACACTTCCGAGACAGTAATAATGTAGTGTAGAACATCAATTTGAAACAACAGTAACACATAAAGTATATTGTACGTAAGTATAAAGTATAATATCATGCATTTTTTAAATAACACTGTGTTAATTATAACTCAAAACGCAAGCCATTCCAACATGTTTGAACACGTTAGCATAAGCATGCAGTTGTAAGGGTTTTCTCATGAGAAAACCAGAAGCTGTGGGCATTTGGAGTTCAGGAAATTAGCAGTAACAGGAACATTTGCTTTCAAACGTCTGTGCATATAAATTGCTCGGAATCGTCATGCTTCAGTCTTGCAGAGGTGGATTTCTTAATTCGGCTTGAGCAGGTAAGCCCACACACAACTGTAATCCTGTAATACTCTTCACCTCATCATTCAATGCAATATCTGCAAATACAAAGGCCCTGTGCTAATCGTATTCTAAACGGTGACAGCCGAGGCTCGAAATAAGTCTCTTGGACGAACACGGAATTGTACTCCTTCCGTGGCGTGAGAAAAACAGATGTCGTTTGAATTGACACGCATGTTGGTAATAAGTCCACAAAGCGCCCAAACCATAACACGTCAAGACCACTTTATCGCATCATCTACGAGACTCATAAATACTACGGAGCAAGTCTTAGCAATTAGAGCCAGAGCCACGTGGCGCTTTGATGGCGCGGCTGACGAGAATGCTAATGGCAGGCGCTCCGGTCACAAGCATGCAGGGAATACTAGTCTGTGATAAGGAAAGACAGCTGAAGGTTGTAAGGCGCATGACATATTAGCAAAAGAACAAATAACTCAATTAGAAGCCCCCGAACGTCGGTGTCAGTGGTGATGGAGATGGTAGTTGATGATAAGCGAAATGATAAGCGCTCTATGACATTTACTGTGATGTTATTCCGAGCTGGATTCGGCCTTCGTGAGAGATTTGATCCGAGGGGGCATGCATTATGTATGTCACCTGTAGCTGCTAAGGAGGGAAACTTTCATACGTGCAGAAAGTTTGAGAAGTTACTATTAATTTATTTATTAATAATCGACGCTCGGCTAAAGCTGAATAAACCGTCTGACTGCCAATGGGCCCATAATGCTGTTTGAATCAACATTTCATGGTCCGGAGATCGACAGTCACCAGCAAGACTCTGTAGAACCGGTTTAAAGTATGGATACAGCATTTGAAACATTCCCTGTTGAAATATAGATGTTTAGGCTGATGTATTTCCTTGAGGGTTCATGAATAATACATTTCATTTGCCTCCACAGAGAGTGTCTTGTAAAAGTAAAATGTTGTGAACCTAATCAGGCTAAAACATGCTGTATTTGTCTTATTATTTTTCTTATCTAAAGACGAGAAAAAAGGTTTGAAAGCTATGTTCCCCAGCTTTTTTATTGACCTTTATGTAACCAGCAAAGTCCTAAATAGATTTTCTGAATATCGTTTTGAGAGTCGTGACCCCAGAGGAAGAGGAGCTATACAGTACATGCTATAAGAGCACCCAGAGGAAACCCACGCAGACAATGGGAGAACGTGCAAACTCCAGGCCCTGTCTGAAGGTGGAATCCAACCCAGGACCTTTTTTTTCTTAATGCCATATTGTGATAGAATTTTGTCCAAGAAAGAACAGCAGAACACGGATACTCTCTATGGCAACCATGGTCATGTGTGTTGAGATCATGCCCAGTTAAGAAATATGCTTTAATTCCCTTTGCAGTGCCTGAAAAAAATTAAAAGAAGAAAAAAACACAACTGAGGATTTAAATAGCCACTAGTAACTTCTCACAAAAACAGTCCATTTGAAGTCAGAATATCAGTATACTCACTCTACAGGAATTCTCATTACTACACAAAACTACATGGGAAAAAGTATTGTATGGCCACGCCTGATAAGGGTGTAGGAAATTACACTACACCCATTTGCATGCGCTTGGTGTTGGTGAAAAAATATCAATCTAAGTCACCTGTCAGTATGAATATTATGAAAACCCTTATTGGCCTTTTGTGTATTCATCCAAAGTCAATGTGCCACATCGCATTAAATATTTATAAATCAATCACATGCATTACTAATTTTCTTCTCATTCAATCTGGGCAGCGTGCTTCCGTAAAGCCGCCCTCGGGATTGGTTGAACTGTCAAATTTCACCTGTTTTGACCTTGGCTGGGCTTTCCACACAGAACAATAACTGGCATAGTATTAGTTTTTGTCTTCTCCCTTGGACACATTGACTCAAGGGATGCTTATGAGGCTGTAAAAAGTGCTGAGCTCACGTTACAAATCTTGCACAGTCACAAAGACACATTATGAATAAGGGTTCAGGCTTAATCCAACAAAAAGAAGGTGATTAGTTTTCTAAACACATTACGCATGTCTTGATGGATCTATTGTTTCTTAAAAAAAAGAGGATTAGTTCCATCTGATACTTGAATGTCATCAACACAATCTGCAAAATGCTTCGTTCATGAGGCATTTTCATGTTTTCTTGACATTTCTTGAAAGCTTGGAAAGGTAAAACCAGATTTCTGACCAAAATCAGTACTCTATAGTTTTAGTGTGCATTCTAGATCCCAGATCCCAATATTTGTTTTTGCTTTTTTTTACCTAGGACAACTTTGTGAAGGTAAAATTAGCCGGTACAAAAGCCCTTATTTTTATCTGTTTACTTGGATGAAACGTTGTCCCACAGTCGCAAACAAACACACACTCATCCTGAACCATTTTCTTTAATGGAAGAGGAAACCTGGGCACCCAGAGGAATCCTATGCAGGCACGGGGTGAACATGCAAACTCGACACCTAAAGTAGCGGTGGAATCAAACCCAAGACTATCTTGCACAAGTAACCTCTTGAAAGTATTGTCCCTCTGTCTGTGGTGCTGTAACAATCTTCATCTGACCCAGCAACAGCCTATTTGGATTCATTGTGGTTCAAATTACGTTTTTTGGGGAAATACATGTATACTTGCTTAGTGGGAATGAGCCTCTGGTGTAGGAAGGTGTTTGTTTTCTAAGTATACATACTGTATATCATTGTCATATTTTTTTTTTATATTTATTATCAATCATCTCTATTTGTAGAGTGCCTTTCCTACACAGGGCAACGCAAAGTGCTCCACAGAATCACAAAAATCACCAGTAAAAACTAAAACTAAACTAAACAACTAAAATTGCAGAGGTTATGAAACACATTAAAATAGAGATAAAATCCTTCAGCGGTATGAACAGGCAATGGTTATATGGTTGTTAAGTGTCACGGCCGCCGTCCTATTGACCATATCAGTAAGTGCTGCTTTTTTCCAAGGATATCGCAATGATTGCAAATAGTCCACTTACTGTGTAATATTCAAGACAAGACTTATTTCACCGGAGGCGAGTAGGTGCCATGTCCTTTGTTCAAAATCAACAAACATACAGTATATACAAAACCGAACTGAGGCAACAATTGACCCAAGCAAAGTTATACAAAAGGGGTGGGAGGCTCACAGGGGAACACAAAACATGCGAAATGTCTTCATCATAAAACAGAAGTGAAGGTTGGAGAAAAAAACATCAAAACAAAGGCCGGTTTATCGTGAGAACTGATGAAATTGGGAGCAATCCTCAACTGTTGAACACAGACTGCACTGTTTCTCTGTGTTCTGAACCTATGGAGGTGCCTCGTCAGGTTCGGCTTTCAACTAGCTTCTTGTGCTTCTGGCTGTTTAACCTGAGCTGCGCTCAGACTATCAACTATTGAACAAGTCTTCTTTGAAACTTTTACTACACTCACAGCTATGACTGACAAATTCATTACAGTGTTAAATATAGTAGAGAGCAAATACGCAAAATAGAAGAAAAAACTCTCTGTGATTGTAATTTATGCATATTATGGCTGGAACTGAAGGGAGACTGACACTTACTGGATCTTGTAACTCACATGCCTCCCACAGAGTCCTTCAAAGTTCAACCACAACTTTTAAACAAACAAGGCTGATAAACAGACGACTCCCAACTGTGAAAATAGATAGTTACAAAATGTTCTAAGTCACCTCTTCTCAATACAATTCAAGGTCTTCTAAGTATCAGCATCTCTGGTACTTCGAAGAAAAATGGGCAAATGACCCTGTTTTTCTGAATAAATTGAATTCAATTGAATCTAACTGAGTCATTATTATGATACCACAAACAGACACAGCTAAGTCACTTAATCACTTGTTTACTCTACCTTTACTTCCACTGACACAATGACGGTTAAATGGAAAGATGTAGCTATTATCATAATAATGATCAACACTATATCTTCTCATTACTCATTTTCTCTTAGAAATTATATATATATATATTAGGGCCGGGACTTTAATGCGTTAATTACGATTAATTAACGCCACAAAATTAGCGCATTAAAAAAAATTTACGCATTTTAATCACATGTGTATTTTCCACTGCGGAACGTTCCTCGCGAATGAGTTTCAGACGGACCTATTATACTGGAGCGCCACCTGAGCTCCGTGACTTTTCTTGTTCAAAAGTACAATATAACAAGCATAGACCAACTCTAACTCTGAGTGAGTTAGAGGCAAGAAAGAGCGCTCTGTGTGGAGCAATGGTGTGTGAGGAGGAGGAGGAGCAGCGAGACACAGGTCTGCTATTTGCTGATGTTTTAGTTCTGGGGTTCTCAATACGTCGATCGCGATCTACACATGCACACATCAAAAACGTATTATAAGCTTTTATACTCACTTCGAGTGCAGTGGATTTTGGGCTTAAGAAGTGTATGTTGTGGTCAGTGTTTGTGGAGGCGATGACAGAAACGTTATTTGATGGAAGTCCGTCTGATCCTCCACAATGAACATGTGTTGTTTAAGCTTATGTAATTCAGTCATTATTCAATGGTAAACTAAAAATCCATGTGAAAAAAAATTACTTCTCACTGTTCTCAGGACAAATATTTATATTCAATTAAAATGCGATTAATCGAGATTAATTAATTACAAAGCCTCTAATTAATTAGATTATATATATATATATATATATATATATATATATATATATATATATATATATATATATACATATATATATATATATATATATATACATATATATATATAACATATACATACAACACGCTAATATCAGGACACGCTACAACACCCTAATATCAGGAACCTCCAGCACAATACGTCACAAACATGTCCCCTCACATCACTCCTGTCAATTGTCCTTTTTTCAAACTCATTACAATTCAATATAACATGTTCAGAACTGTCTGTAACGAAGGTTTTGCCACTAATTTGCTTATACAGTGTGTGTGTTTTTATTGGTTTTAAATGTTGTCAATGTGATGCACTTTAGGTTGCAATCTGTATGGACTGTGCTGTAGAAATAAATGTTGATTAAGGGTCCAGTCAAAAGGCCGTATATACAACTGCATGCATTCAGTAACAAAGAGTAGTTATGTGCAGGCAGATTCTTCTTGTTTCGCAGGTGTCATATCTTGGGGAAAAAACAATCAGCCTCCCACCCGACAATTGTAAAAAAAAATTCTAACCTGCATCACCCCTTAGCCCTCACATTAAATGCACTGCAGATGTATGAATGCCACTTTATTTGAACATTTAAATGCACTACATAAATTCACTGTGTCTGGATTCAGTCGAGTCCACCTGGAGCTAAACATGTGCACACTTGACGTGCCGCTCTCTGGGATGGAGACAATGCAGAAATGCAGAGAATGTGTTTTGTCACAAGAGCGGAGAAGGCCTTCACCTGCTCTTGCCAGAAGCTTAAATATCCTCTCTACATGAAAACTGACTTTCTGTGTTGCACTAGACTAGACCATCCCTTTCAACAACCGCTTCACTCTATTTCTTCCATAATTTATGATAATGTCTTCATCTCTGTGTTTTCTCCCTGTTTCCTGGGTCTATATGTTTGCATGGGCACATCGCTTATGTTACTGTTTGACATTTCCTGTGTTTTGTATGTATTGTTTATGTTTTAATGCCCTGGGCTGCTCAAATGAATTGCCTCTGGTGGAAAAGCAAAGTAGTAGTAGTAATTTTGGTTGGCTTTTTGTCTCGTCCTTTGTTTTCACCACGTGACATAAACCATATAATGGACCGTGGCAAGCTTAACATGCACATGGAGCCATATAAACATTTTCAAAAACTATGTTGCTAAGCTAAGTATTGCCCCTCATGTGACATGTGTGTAGTTTTTTACCCCATGTATGTAACTACTATGGTCCGTACTGCTCGCTGTGCTTACAGTATAAGAAGATGAAATAATTGTGAAAAGTAACACACCGAAAGGACATTGTTCTTTCTGATTTATGTGCCCAACCTCCAACATGGCGTATATGGATGGTTTTTATTTCAGAAAACTTCCTGACACAGTGAAATAAAGGTTCTTGATCAGCTACAACAGGCTAAGCTGGGTACTGTGATGTGCAGTGAAGGCAGGATTGTGTCGAGCTAAGTACTTTGATTTTTTCCAATTTTTCTCCCTTTCTCCCTCTTTCCTCCTCTCTCTCTCTCGCTCACTTTCTCTGCTCAGGTTGGTTTGAGGCCAGCACAGAAACCCTTGGAAGGTAAGACAGACGGGCAGACAGAAGATGTGGTGGGAAGAGCTCCAGGGCGCTTCTGGCTGCAAATTCAAACACATCCCCCCCCTCTTTTTTGTACTGAAGCTGGAGTTCCGAACATTTCACTTCAATGGATGGGAGGATGTTTGCTTGCAGGTTTTACAAAAAAATCTCTCCATATTTGCATTAGAGAATTGCTACTTTTAAAAGCCCATTATAACACCAAAAAGCCCACATAACACCATTCAGCATTTAGCCTAACCATCTCCTTTGCCGCTAACGGAGCCGTGGGGAGTAGCGCCACAATCATTGCCAGCAATGACTTTTGCTGTACATTCCTCTTGCGCCTGCTTCAAATTCTTGATAGAACCAGACCGGATTACTTTAATATCACATTCTTCGTTTTGCATAACTACAACCAGCCCATTCGGAGCAAACTCTTGACGTCACCCACATCTAACTACAACACCCATCTCCCGCGCTCGCTGATTGTTTGGATGGCATTCAACCGATGTAATCGCAAACACAGGGACCAGACCCAGACGTTGCATGCAGGGAAATGATGATTGACCGGAGTGTACGGATGGCTAAGGCCAGGCTAGGATAGGGTGGATAGGATAAACTTTATTGATCCCGAAGGCAAATACTGTGGTGCCCTAATGTTCAAATCCAGGTTTAACCGGTAAAAACTTGTCTCAGTTAGCTTTAGTCTTTCAGCAGAGTGGGGTTAAGTGTCTTGTCCAGGGACACAAGAACCGTCTAAGCATTTTTGTGATTAATTAAAGAATTCATTGTATTTGAATCAATAAGGATGATGTAGCATACACTAATACTAATTTGGTTTAGAGAGTGTCTTGGCAATAAGCTCAATAGTACTAACAAGGGAAAGGGAAGAGATAGTTAAAGTAGCAGCGAAAATCATCTCTGTAGTAAAATAAATTGCCCCAGTCTTCCTCTATGCATTCACAGCCATTGTTACAAACTGTGCAACCAAAAAATAGGATGCAGTAAAAGTGCTGGTGATGTAATTATTTTTTTACAATGATGAATCTGACCAACATGGCGGCTGTAAAAAAAAAGTTTTATGGATTGCTCTGCTCAGTAGTCACAGCCATAGTCGCGGAGGCTGTCCCTTATATCATTTGTGACTAATCCACTGACAAGCATCGGGCCAATTATTGTACACCAGTAACGAGAAGAAGGCATGTAGCTCAGTGAAGCTTAGCGAAGCCGGTCAAGAGGGACTATGACAAATATCCAAACAGAGCAGTTTTAAATGGACTTCAAACTTATGTTGTAGATGCTCATGCGGCTATAATTACAACTGAGTAAAGGGAATATATACTGTGCCTTGTGAAATATTTTGTACAGCTAGAACTTCAGAAAAAAACATGACACATGTTACAACCACAGACATATTCTACTGAAAGACTCAAAAACTTGACATTCAACAACATTTATGGACATTGGTCATCTGCTGCTTATGGAAAATGGCACTAAGTAGTTTTTCATCATAGCATTTCTTGTGTTTTAACAGTTTGATTCTCTGATCTGTGTTGGCGGATTGGACGGATTTGTAAAGTCACACTTCCTCAAACAGAGATAACTTCTGTTGTGATTTAAGGCAATACAAGAATAAACTGAACTGAAACACCACAAAAACGTAACTAGACGAGTGCAGGCAAAATGAAACATGATTGTACATGAGTGTAAATGTGCGGCCACTGGTCCATGTTCTGTAGCTTAGGTCCTGGATCTATAGCCCGTCCGTCAGTGGGAGCGAATCCCTTTCTCAAACTGTGGGTCTCCTTGAGGTTTCTCACTTTTTTCCCACTGGGTTTTTCTTATGAGTTTTTTGTTGCTGATGCAGGAGGGTCTGTTGGGCAGTTAGTGTCCAACTAGAAAGACTGTGCTGATGATCCAGGACAGTTTTTTCAACATGTATTCTATATTCTTTATGTGTTTAACTGTTGATTCATGATTTTAATGGTTTTGTTAAGTCCTCTGATATGACTTCTGTTGTGATTTAGGGCAATACAAGAATAAATTGTATTGTATTTTATGTAGGGGTTACCCATTTAATTTGCATATTTACTCATTCATCATTTTTAACCCCTTTATTAGTCCATTAGGGTTGCCACCCAATGCTCAAAGCACCAGTCCCTCACTGACCCTCTGCAGGTGGTGAGTCCACAGGAAAATGGCTGCTACATCAGTGGTGCCACAGCCTTGGCGGGAGCTTCAGGCAATGTGGGGTTAAGTGTCTTGCCCAAGGACACAACGACAGCAGACATTTGTGGGAACAGTTGGAGTAGGTCCCGTGATGGACTCAAACCCACGACCTTCCGGCCCAAAGGCCAATGCTCTACCAACTGATCTACTGTTGCTCCTGCATTAGCATATTCTGATATTATATGGTGGTATCAATTGTGTATTTTAGAAATTTAATGAAGTGTTTTTGTTTTAGTCTTTTTTTTTTAGATATACAAAAAGTCAAATGATTTCTTACCGTAACTTGTCCCACGAAAAGATTGGCCTCCTCCTCTCTGACTGTGAAGTTGGAAGGGGTGGTGACATTGAACAGTGGGTCGTTGTCGTTGACGTCGGTGACTACGATGTCCACAGTGGTAGTGGAGGTCTGAAGGGGGTAGAGTAAAATAAAAATGCATCGTCATGAATAGCCACGTCACAGAATAATCTTGGGGAAATATCATTTCACAGGAGAATGACTATAGAACGTCACAGTAATAAAAGAAGCTGGTGATGGATGGTACTTGACATTATCGCGTTAGAATGCAAATGAAGGTTCTATTGCATTGTAAATAGCTTGACCGGTTAAGTCTCAGGCTAACAGGTCTCAGTCTATCTTAAGTCTTCCAGAGCTAAACTTTTTCTTGTGGTTAGGTCTGACCTCAATGTCATGCACAATACTAAAGGCATAGAATTTATTATGATTCTATAGCCCTCTTCAGCAATTCAACGGCTTTTCAATTTCAAGACGTGTCAGTATAAAGGCAAGGGCATCTTAAGACATACGAACACTGAAAATGCATGGTTTTCATTCTCTATGTGCCAAGGTAAAGCCAACAATGTTATAATTATGCACGGTCTTGCACAGCAGAAGACTGAATGAACTGCATAAGAAAGCAAGGTTGAAAATGTAAAGTTTGTGCAACATCATACATTTCAATAGAACTTTTTTATCATAAACTATCCATACACATCCAAATCAATGTTATTTCGAAAGTAAATTGTGTGTATGGCATTATGGATGGAGGTATTAAGATTAAGATTAGGAGATCCTTCATTCGTCACACAGTGGGGGAAAATTCAGTGTTGCAGGTTACAGATCAGTAAGAATGAGGAGCACACAACATATAAGTTAAGATAAGTCTAGCACAACTCAAATTGGATTGGAGCAAAATCATTAACTTATTCCAATTGATATGGGACATTTCTAAAAAATTAATTTGCATTGTTAACGCTCATGAATGTCTCTTTGTGATGTGGAAACCCAATATGGCTTCAAACTGCAAAGTGCACATTAACTGAATTGCGTTCAACGACACAAAACAATAAACCAGTGTCTGTAAGATAAATTGTGTCAAACTATTAAAAAGGTAGTTATGCAAAATGATTACGGCTTTCAGAAGTAATTTACAAATAATTCATGCTACACTTTAACTGTGTTGCCATGAAGAACAAAACTTTTAATGAATGAGCAGAGTTATGTTATATTATATGAGCAGGCGGCACGGTGGCTGAGTGGATAGCACTCTCGCCTCTCAGCAAGAAGGTCCTGGGTTTGAATCCCGGTCGGACCAGGGCCTTTCTGAGTGGAGTTTGCATGTTCTCCCCGTGTCTGCGTAGGTTTCCTCCAGGTACTCTGGTTTCCCCTACCACTAAAAATATGTCCAATAGTTCTAGCATGTGCCTCCTGTACTGGCGACCCCGCTCCCATCTCTGTGTGGAGTGAGAGACAAATGCCCAAAATTAACAATTGTAAACCGCTTTGAGACTCAATTCTGCAGTGAAAAGGCGGTATATAAATAAAAACTTACTTACTTACTTACTACTTACTTATATAGTCAATTTTCACACCTACATAGGAGCGCACTCATAAACCTAGAACAATGACATACAAACGAATCGGAAATCAAACAATGCGTTGGGCCGTTGTGTCTTCATACTGAGCAGGGGAATCATTTTTCACAAGGCTCATTGGACTAAGCCAATCCCCAGCTGGCCCATTACACCCTCTCAGTCATTTGGAGGGGGGCTATACCGCTAACCTTCACCGATGACATATCACAGTCCGCACCCCTGCAGAAAGGGCTGAATAGGCAGGCACGCTATAGGACAATCTCCCCCGTGTAAATATATGCTGCTGTATGCAAATATTCTCTGCTAGATTTTCCTTTGGGGGTAAGGAAACGGTAGGAGGGGCCAGGCGTTTGAAAACAAAAACCCACAAACGCAGTCATTTTGAAGTTGGCAGATGCGAGATTCTGCGACCTATTTTGTGTCACCTTGATTTCATCGTCCTCCGGGAATGCCCTCTTGCACCGCTGTTTGTTGTTTCATCTTTGATATGTGTTTTGCTTTTATTCCCTTTTCTATTATACTGTTACAGGTTGAATTAAACTACATCCAGGATAATAATGTAGTGCATTTGTGAAGGTTTTTGGATGTGTACCAGTTATTTACATTATGAGTTAGTTCATAGGTTGATTGCCAATTTAGATTTTGTCCTATCAAGTGCTTTCTTTGTTTGAAAATACATGCATAGTAGTAGTTAGTAGTTAGTACAACCCCACTAAGGACATCAGGCAGTGTTGCGGCCATTTAGTTGTTTACTATTGTCCTTTTCATTTGGTCTAATTTTAAGTTTAATTCATAACTTATTTTTTTGCTTTATTTTTTTATTTTTTTACTGTTATGGGAGGCTTTGGTTTAGGTGCACTACCTTAAATATCCAGTTGGGGTCGAACCTCATGGTGTGGAGTTAGCCTGGGGACATAAGCTATCAATTTTTGACTGCATTTCTGCTTTCTGAATTACATTAATTACTTATTTCGATTTTTGGAAGATTTTTGATTTTGTTGAACGTGGATAACCTTGTGAATAAAAGTGAACTGGGACTTGTGGAACGATTATTCATGTAATGACCCTAGTCTTATTTGTAAGTTCGGTCATCATTGCACGCCTGCATGTCAATTAGAAGCTAAGGCCCAGGCTAACAGTGACTACAGTGGTTTTTTTGCGTCGCTACAGGCAGTATCCCTGGGCTCATGACTTGATGGCAAATGGGGAACTGGCTGCAGGAGCTGAGACTTCTGCAGTGCACCGTTCAAACACTACATGACAGACATGCTCTGGGACAAAATCTTAGTAGGGAATCCAAGTTCCTTCCATGAAGCACTGCAGATATATCCCTAAGTCCATTCTAAGAAGTCTCAATGAGTTTTTTCTAACAGGTGATGCCACTTTAAGATCTCCAGGGATTCACGGTCTTCCTTTGCCACCTCTCTTGCTTTTCTTTAGAGAGGCAGCATTTAAGATTTATGAAGCTAAAATCTGGAACAATCTTCCTGAGAATGTGAGCGAGGTTTCTACTCTGACAATGTTTAAATCCAGGTAAAAGGCAGTACTATTTAGCTGTGCATACAACTTGAGGATTGTATCTTCCCTCTTTTTAATGTACTGCGATTATGTATGTTCATGCCTTGTATCGTTTCTATCTCGTTTCATTGCGCACTTTGAGTTGCCTTGTGTATGGTATATATCTATCAAATAAAGGCTTACACCCAATTACCTCTCAAGCATTCCATAGACATTCACCCATATTATGTTCTTTTAAGTGTGTACTCCACTGCAGCAGCCGAACCATCAGCCACCTCAACCTCTCCATCTCCCACATCTTCACTCACTCCTATTAGATTTTTTTGTTTACATCTGCATCTGCATGTCATCTGCCAGTTGGGCGGCACAGTGTTGCAGTGGTTAGCCCTCGTGCTTCACAACAAGAAGGTCCAGAGTTCAATTCCACCGACAGACAGGGACATTCTGTTTGGAGTTCGCACATTTGCGTATGTCAACATGAGAGGAGACAGGTCGCCTCCGCTGTACAAACTGTGTGCGTCCCCATTAAAGACTCCCTTCAACTAACTCTGGTATTCCTTTCATAATTTATTCTTTGCCTCCGTTTATCCGTCCATCTTACAGTACATCTTACATCTTACATGCCTACCACTTGAGTTTGGGTCAGGACCATTCACTGTAAATATTAGAGGACGTGGTGACGCCTATTTCCCTGTCAACATTGATGAGCAATCTCCACAGACCTTGTCAAAATTCCGCAAGAACCCTGTTCAAAAAAACACTTTTGGAGAAGAGGCTGATTCATTTGCGCCTTCGGACATGGACCTTTTTGAGCCCCCACTGGTCAGGACCATGACTTCAGTTACTTACATCCAACACGATCAAACAAAGGCGAGGTGGTGGCAGCGCATAGGCCAAGAGCACAGCACACTTCATCACACTTACTATTCTTCAGCAAAAAACGCATATGGGAGCCAATTACTATTCTGGCGTGGGTGTTTCCATCAAAGCATGCAGTCCTGCCTCCGTGTCCATGCAGCAGGGATTAATGAGATACTATTATTAATTTAACATAAAAGAAGAACTCTGTGATGTCTCCTATGCTGTCCTTACTGTAGCGAGGTCACCGGGGCTTCGTTCTCAGTGACAAGCTTTAACCGCGATCGAGGCGTGCTGAGAGGAGAGCGGCTCATCTTAACCCCCCGGCCACACTGGTATATTTTAATTAAAACAAAACCTGGTCCTTTGTTTTGAGTCTAAGGAAGGAGTTGGGTTCAAGTATTATTTTATGCCTACTGTGAATGTTAATCTTCAACATAAATTGGTGCAAGAAGAAACTTCTCTGATGTTTGCTTGTCTTCAATTAAATCCCAGAGCAGTCAATTTGATGGCTTTTCATTTTGGAAGTGTAAAATTTACTCAGCGTATGTTCATTCTTTGTCTTCATAACTTTGTGACTTGTTCTGTTTTCATATGTACAGGTAGTTAATACATAAACATTTAGCAACACACTGTTTACTTGTAGTAGTTAGCATTTTTGTTGTATTTCAGTTATATTCACCAGTTGTGCATGTATCAAAGAAAAACAAACTGTATGAATTACTGTAATAAAAGTAGTTTGGGAGCCATCAAAATGACTTCTTTGGCAGTTGTAGTAGTTAAGTTAAAAAGAGGACAAGATGTTTCAATACCTGGCATTTCATCTCAGTATAATTTTGGAATCTAATGATAGAGAATCCTGTGTTGGATTATTCGGCGGTGTTACCTACTGTGTGTGACATCATCAGTTGTGTATCACGGCAGCATATAGTACATCATATATCTTGCAAAACAGAGACTCTCTTCTCACTTTTTAACATGTTTGCATATTTCCTGTTTGCACTACTGTCTTTTGCACACCCTGAGTGATACTATTTAGGCCAAATGTGACATGTAAAATACTCCATTGTGGGATCCATAAAGTCAATTTTATCTCATCTTATCATTGGGTATTTTTGGCCGGGACAGGCCCCCCCACATGCTGATCGGACCTGGGTG